CCTGATTTGACACGACATTGTCCTGATTTGGTACGTAATCGTTCATAGAGATGTGTTTTTTAGTAAAAAATTTATGTACTATACCAGTGCATATATAATATATTATTATATTATATATTATATGTGGTTGCATTTTTTTAAAAGGGAAACCTTTTACTGTTTTGGGTATATTTTTTGTTGTATGTGTACCTACTTACTATATAATACTTCATAAATATAAAAATATTGTGCTTTTACATATATTTATTTCCTTCTTTATTTTCTGTTTTCTATTCCACATTTTGTGTTGGTCCTTACGTTACGTCTAATGTCACTAACTGCTTTTAAGAAGTTTTGTTTGGTATGGTTACTGACTTCTAAGGTCTATGTGTAGTTTCAAATAGCTAGTTCTACATACCTAAGCGTTGTAATTGCCATTTTATCCATTATTATTTAAAAGTTTTGATTTCAGTATGGATGAATAGATGGTGCCTCAAGGATTTATCGAATTAGCTAATAAATACAAACATTTTTGTAAAAATCCTTATTTTTATTTTTTCCTTATTTTCAAACTCTTTCTAACAACAAATAATATAAATTCGGCTAAATTACTTTAGAAGAATTTATATTATAACTTTGTTACTTGTTTACTCTTTGCTTATTTCTAATATATTTTAAAATAATTTGTAGTGTTCTTTTAATACTCTATTCTCATTTCTAGATTTTTTTTCGAATAATTTGTACTATATATACCTATATAATATATTCAAAAACAAAAAAAAAAAGTTCTGCTCTTAAAATATCAAAAAAAAACTCTCCTAAATTTTTTAATACAAGAATACATATAACATGTACAGATGAAATGAAATCACACTCAATTACTCCAAATAATATCCGATGTATGTATAGTACATTTCACTTGTTACTAACATAACTTAAGATGTATTCATAAGAAGCTGCTCGAGAATAATGTTGCTTCAATTAACAGTTTCTGTAATTTAGTAGACTTGAACTTATGACCTTAATTAGGATGTTAAAGTGCAGCTATCCTACATATCAAAACATATTTTCATGTACATAAATTATATCCTGAAAGTATATATAAAGTATATAGTGTGCGATAACAACATTCAATCAAATTTCAAATAACAAATTACGAACAAACTTCCAGGACAAATCACATACAATCACTCAAATGACCTTTGATGTGGAGTAGGTTTCATGCACAACTGAAACTGATTAATTGCCATACTTTCCATTGACGACTGCAGTCATATCGATTTGGGGAAGTTTATTAATGTTCCGCCAGAGGTAGATTCACAAGATGTGCTAATAAATTTCATTCCAAGCACTTTCACCAGAGTAACAGAATTAGGCAAAGGTTGTTGCCTAGTGAAATTCTTTGATTAAATTAAGTGAAATAAGAGAAAATACAAACAAAAATACAATCAAAAGTAAAAAGACCATAAAATGTAAAAAACTTATTGAAAGAAAAAATGATTTATGAAATACAAAACCATTTAAGCGCGAAGACACAGCATGACGTGGAAAGACATAAAAGTCAAATAGAAGACAAAACAAATCGATCAATTATACAAACAAGAAACAAAATAAGAATGGAGAAAAATGATAAAAACAAATGAAGTCAGAAAAATCGCATTTTATTGGCTAAAACAACAGCAAAAAGGCTCATAAATGATGACTTTCAAGCACACTATATACCTGAATACTACTACTTATCAGAAAAGAACATTTAATATATAACTTTGAGGTGTAATCTCATAGCAAGTCAATTTCATTGTCGAACTAAAAAATATCATTTGAAATCTAAAATGTCAATATCTTCAGATAAGTCTGCAGAGAAGTTAAAGCTATGTTTCGATATACAATAGCTAACAAAAACGCTTTAGCTCGGTGAGAACAAAAACCTATATTGGTCCAAAATTTTTAAAACTAATTATATAAAAACATACTAGTCTGCCTTGAGATTTCATTTGACGGTCCAGGAACTTCAGAAAGTAGCTCAGTATAATATATCGCTATTCATCTACAGTAAATCGCAGATTTACATGGAAGAAACATATTAAAGCGGATTGATAAAGGAATTAATAAAAACGAAGCTAATAAATTAATTATAACGTGCCTAAACAGATTGAAACACAAAGCTTGAACCTAAAAAAATACATTAAAGAATAATGGTGTTCAATTATGGGGCAAAGGAAGCAATTTTAACGTTAATCTTAACTTTACCAGTTAAAAACGTAGCGACATATAGATAATGCTTATAGACAAATGTCCCAAAGGCTCAGAATGAAAGGTAAGCAAATATTTACTCTAAAGAAATACAGTTACGAAAACTATACTGCATTCCTGATACTTGCATTCTTTTTCAGGTTAATATACGCTATCATAATAGAAGCAAGGGCAAAGTAAAATTGTCAAATATGTAGTACAATTTGTCTTTTAGGAATAAAAGCAATCGAATTCGAAACGGTATGACTATGTCAGCTGGTTACTTTTTTGAGGATTTTACCCAGCTATAGGACCTCTTTAAAAAGCATTTTATGTTTAGCCAAAGGTTCAAAATGAATTTAAAGCAATTAAATTTTTAGATCGTAAAATAATAAGCCTAAATATATCCTTAAGATCGCCAGTATAAGCTACCCTAACTTAAAGCGGTAAAATTGTGGATAGTATATGTTAGTGATATACCCTATAATATATAACATATATTAATATTTATAATATATAATGATTTATATTAATATATTATAATGTCTCCTTTTGTTGGGTTTTTGGATGCAATAATATTGAAGGAAATATGAGAGTAGACGAGATAGCCAAGAGTTATTCTTAAGTTCACATGGTGCTGATATCTCGGTACTGATCTCTATGTGTCAACTTTTTAGTAACATAGTTGAGTTCACCATTGAGGTCATATATAATTTGTGAACTAATCGTGAAGACTGTGAACTTGCCCGAATCTTATGGTTTAGGTTAGAATAGAATAAAATGAAAATAGTTTCAACAAACTAGAAGTTCGTATTATTACAAAACTACTAAAGTAACATCATATGATGCTAACACTGTTGCTTCAACAGTGGCATGCGGACATGTTGACACTATGAACAAAAAAAAAAGCATCCATCACTTTCTATAACTTTGTCCAAAACAGCAGATGGAGCGACTTTAAAATCCTGAAGACCGTTTCTTCCTTGGTTATTTCTGCCAGAAAGCCAGCGTCAACTTATTGGCTCTCTTTAGCTTTAATTGGAAGAGTGAAGAAATTAACAAATATTATACGCTTTTATTTATTGATTGCTAGAATGTCATTCTCATCAATTGTTCAATTTCCTTATGATATAAATGTACTTTTAAGTATCAGCACTGATTTCCGTTTTTATTTACTACTCTGACTAGTAGTACTCTGACTATGCTACTTTGACTATGCTAAGCAATTTAATTTCTAAGTTTCGATGTATGTAGGGTATTATAACTTGCTAAACAATATGTGCAAATATTATTTGTTACAGCAAACAAGAGAAAATCTATCAAAACAAACTCAAGTTAACTAACATTAGAAACGTCTATGGTTGGTAGTCAGTTAAACAAAACAAAATCGGCACTAAGAGAAATTGCCCATTTGCTTCGAGGCATCAAAGTGGCATGTTCAACAAATAATAGCATCGAACATAAGTAATTTACTAAAAATAACAGCACATGAATATCAGATTAATGGACTATTTCATACATAAAACATTTCGAAGGCCTGCATTTGAAGGACTGAACAGTTACTGCTGAGATTTGGTGAAGAACTTTTTAAGGTCTCATAAAAATTAATGGAAACTATTTATTTGAAAACTTTCTTAACACTTCATTGGAGTTTTGGTAAACAGATACAGTAACATATGCTAAAGACACTCAAAGCAATTTCAATTTAATACGAATTTATTAAATAATAAGAATTTTTCTGATTGTTCTAATGAGAGAACTAATAATTGCTAATATGGACTTTTAAACTGACTTTTGGATTTACTATAAATAAAATTTTGTTCTGAAAAATTATATGGTAAAGTGAAAAAATAGAAATAATACAATTAATTGTATAGATGGCTTGTATTATTGGTCTGTATACTATATTAATGTCTACATAGATAGTTTCAGAGTTTAAGGAAACTGCAATCTTACGTACTTAATACTTTTTGTAAATATTGTGAACCCATTGCTTCTGTCCATATCACAATTATGAATAAATAGAGAATGTATATGACAATGTTATCCTTATAGAAGCCATTATCTGATAATTACTTTAAGTAAGATATTCTTTAAGATATTCTTATGTATCTAACTCACTTAATTAAAAGACAATAATTGTGTAAAATCCAAAAAATTCCAAATAGAATTTGATGTTAATCTGCACTAATTATTTAACTTGCAATGTGTTTTAAGTATAAGATGTTCTTAAACTGTCGAAACATTAGATCCATGATTCGGTAACGCATTTTCATAATACTTTGAAATTTTGCAAAGGCCTTAGGTTCGGTTTGGTTGGAGTGACGGCGTTGTGCTCAAAACTCACTCCAGCTCAAATAATAGGCCGTTGTGATATCATGAAAACAATATTAATTAAAAATGTTTAAAAAAAATACTGGAATACCAACTTTTTCCAAACATGAAAACATTTACAAAGTTCAAAGAACATCTGATTTCGGAAGCTAAATACCCATATGTACGCTTTAACCTGAGAACTTGATATAACGGTTGATATACTTGCATAAAAAAATCAGACTAACAAACTAGAATGAGCAGGTATTCTTTTATTATTATTGAGAGGGGACTGCGATCATTGTGTCTATTGTCTTAGAGTAAGTCTCTAAGTCTTGTTGCGTGGATAAAAAGTAGTATAGAACCTGCTTTACAGAGTTTTATTGCCTCTTTCGTAAGGATATTCATAACCAGGAGCTAGTAGGTATTCTAACTCAGTTTGAAAATGATTTAATTTCATATTTTTGTCCTTTTAATTACTCCCGATTATGTAAGATTTGAGCAATAACTTTATAAGCTACATTTAGTAAAGTTATGCCTCTCCAGTTGGAGCATTCCATCAGGTTACCTTTCTTTGGTATATTAATAATGATGCCGTCTTTAAGATTAGGCGGTAATGACTCTTGGGACCAGAAGTTGTTGACAATTGGTTGAATAATTTGAGCAGCTGAAATTTTGTCTGCTTTGAGCAGTTCGGGGGCAATATTGTCCGGACCAGCGGACTTACCTGCTTTAAGCTGAGTTATTGCTGCCTCAATTTCACTGATGTTAGGTACATCTGTGTTTATATCGTTGCGAGCAACATGTTCGTGGTGTCTACTACATAGTTCCTGCTGAGGATAGGTGTTGTTTCCCGCTAGGAGATTTCTGTAGTGATCTTCCCAAACTTTTAGCTGATCTTCGGTAGAGTGTACTAGTTCGCCTCTGGTATTTTTTATTGGCTTTGCAATCCTGTGTTTACGTCCCACCATAGCTTTAGTGATGTTGTGTAGGTCTTTGAGCCTATGTGATTCGCTTGCTTTTTGAGCTTCTGTTGCTAAATTGTCGAGCCATCTGCGCTTATCGGCTCTAGCGCTGCGTTTAACTTTGCGGTTGGCAATACTGTAGTTGGCTTGTGCCTGCTGCTTTGTTTGGCGCGTTCTTGCCCTGTTAACCTTTTCTTTTTCTCCTTTGCGCGCTTTTATAAGATTCCATGTATGTTCGGTGATCCACGGATTATTTTGACGTTGAGGAATACCGACACTTTGTTGTGCTGCTTCAGTGAAGGCACATTTTGCTTGTTCCCAATAAGTTTCGGCTTCAAAGATTTCTTCTTCTAGTGGCAAGGGATTAGGGATTTGGGCCGATAAAAGAGATTGATAGTTATTTTGAACAGTAGGGTTGTCGAGTTTGGCGAGGTCGAACCGTTTCCTTTTGAATTGTGGCTTTCTAAAGACCGCATTTAATTTGAGTTGTATTTCACCGATTAGTAGATGGTGGTCAGAAGCCATGTCTGCACTTCTTTTATTTCTGACATCACATAATGAATGTCTCCACATTTTGCTGATGGCAATGTGGTCGATTTGATTTTCTGTTGCATTATCTGGGGAAACCCAAGTGACTTTATGCAAATGTTTGTGCGGGAAGAGACTACCTCCTATGGTGAGGCCCATGGTGTTACATAATTCATAGAAACGCTCCCCATTATCGTTCATTGTGCCGAGAGCATGTTTACCCATCACTTGCTTTCTTCCATTGTTATCTGGCCCGATTTGTGCGTTGAAATCTCCCATGACGAGCTTTATTTCACCTCTAGGGCATTTATTTAAAACAGAGTATAGGGAGTCATAAAAATTTTCCTTGATTTGTGGGTCGGTGACTTCAGTAGGCGCGTAACACTGTATGCATGTGAGGGTTCTGGCTCGAGTTTTAAATTTTGCCAGAATTATTCGGTCGCCATGTGGTTGCCATTCTATGAGCGCTTGTTTAGCTTCTTTGGATAATAGAAAGCCTACTCCACTTTCTCTTTTTTCGCCTGTGGCCTTTCCAGAGTATATGAGTGTAGCGCCGGAGGATGTTTTGTATTCGCCGCAGCCATTCCATCTTACTTCGCTTAGCCCGATGAATAAAATATTGAGACGTACAAATTCACGTTCAAGTTGAGCAAGTTTTGATGTTTCTGCTAGAGTTCTTATATTCCAGGTTCCGAATCGGCCGCTGAGCCTACACTACGAGCCGAGCAAGCAGGATTTAGGCATAATCGATCATGTGCCGACCACATAAACAGCCTTCGAATAATAGTCGAACAGTCTAGCGAATGGCGATCTCCCCTATACTTGCTGTTTATCGACTTTAAACGTGCATTCGATACACTTCTCCATACCACCATCTGGTATGCATTAGAGTGTAAAGGTATACCGAGTAAATTAATAAATTTAGTAAAAGGCTTGTACTCTGACGCGCACTGCTCAGTACTTCACGAAGGGCGTCTCAGCGGGCAAATCCAAATTAAGTCTGGCGTCCGACAAGGTTGCATTCTTTCACCTATACTATTTAATATAGTCTTAGATGTGGTTATGTCGGAAGCTATGAGCACAAATCATGGCATATCATTCGGCCTTCATAACAAACTTACTGACCTCGATTACGCTGATGACATCTGTTTACTAACGCATAACTTTTCCCAGATGCAAATATCGTTAAACAACATCGCAAAGCGTGCATTGGCAGCTGGTCTGTCAATCAATATCAACAAAACCAAGTCTATGCGTCTCAATTCAAACTGCTTAACGAAGTTTCAACTAGATGGCTCCTACATCGAAGATGTACAAAGTTTCTGCTATCTGGGAAGCTACATTTCGAACAACGGCGGCAGTCGGCAAGACATACAGTACAGGCTATCGAAAGCGAAGCAAGCGTTTGGAACCCTTAGCAAAATCTGGCGTTCATCCAACATCACACAACGCACTAAGATACACCTGTACAATGCAAACGTAAAATCAACTTTACTATATGGTAGTGAGAGTTGGAACCTAACGGCAAGAGACGCACAACAGCTACAAGCCTTTGTCAATCGTTGTCTACGACGCATCCTTCATGTATTCTGGCCAGCAACCATAACCAATAATGAGCTCTGGTTTAGAACGAATCAGCCTCTTATAACTGATGAAATAATGATGCGCAAATACAAATGGCTTGGCCACACGTTAAGAAAACCCGCTGATGATATCGCAAGAAATGTCTTAGATTTCAACCCTCAAGGCAGTAGAAGACCAGGGCGTCCGCGCAACACTTGGAAACGACAAACTGAAGCCGAATTAAGAAATGCTGGAAAGAGCTGGAGTGAAACAAAACGTCTTGCATTAGATAGAGTTCAATGGAAACTATTTGTTACGGCCCTCTGTTCCACCTAGGAATAAAAGGATTAAATAATAATAATAATAATTACTCCAGAACTGTTTCACTAAGATCCCTGGTATAAAAATTGAGTCAAATACCAAATAGACATAATTTAATGATATAAAAAAAGACCAGTATTTTAATTCGGCAAGTAGTGTTGATATATTGCCCTAGATATTACGGACACTTACATATATTAATGCTTTAATGTAGCACTATTTAGTACCCTACTCTGTAAATATTAGTAATTTCAAGTTGTAATTAATTACTCTTAGCTCTAATCACGAGTGGAAATGTACATTTCAAGGTTTAATCAATTATTTTTACATCTAATCATGAGTGGAAATATACAAATCATTATATATTATATTTAAAAAAAAAAATATTCTTAGTTTTTATACTTTAAGAGAGTGTCGGAAACAAAGCAACAATTTTAATATCAGAGAAAAAGTTACTTTAAATTATTTGGCATCAAAGAAGAAAGTAATCCATAAATTTAATTTGTCTGAACAAAATATTTTTTTATCAGTTAATTGGTTAAATTGTCAATTTTTTTAGAGAACTAATATATTTTTTTCATTTTATCAATATATACCAGTTCAATTAGCAAACTAAAAAGTTTTATAACTCTTATAAGTACATAGAATTGCAAGGAAAAATAAATGAAAAGGAAATAAATCAAATAAAAAAGTTAAAAAGTTAACGAACTGAAAAAATTTCGTTTCCTGTTCTTATTATTCGAAGACAACCGCGTATATTACACAATTTTTTCCAATTAAAGGACTCGTAAAAGTTTTAGGGATTGCTTAGTTGGATTTCATGGATTTTTAGAAAACATATGAAGTAAAAGATTTTAAAATGAAAATCCAATTGCGATTGGCTTTTTGCTTTCAATACAGGCAGGACATTAAAAATCCAGAACTACTTAAAGGAAATTAAGAAAATCTAAAGGATTTGCGAAAACATTAAGGAAAAAAAATCAAAATAAAGTGCTCGTAGATAGAAAGATGATGGCATTACCTAAGGTGCACCTTATCACACAATTAGAAGACAGATAAATACCTTAAATGGCATCCAGGAATAGCAGTAAAAAAAGCCTAAGCCCTGAAAATGGAAAAAAAATAATTAGTAGACTTGCAACTAACAATTTTCTCAAACATAAAAGCTACTTAAATGGGCGTAGCATGTGTTTATTAAAGAAGGTGGGGCTGTCGTTATTCGCAACAACATCATTATTAACAACATTATTAGCAAACTGGCAGCACTCAAATTAGGAATTACGCCTTATCAAAGGCAAACGCAAACGCAGAGGAGAGGCAAAACGAGCTGACTGCACTATTCCTAAAAGGAAAAAATAACCGAAAGAAGACGTTAAACGTTAAACGAGCAGTAAACGTAAAAATGCTCAACAAACTTGAAGCATCGAATGCAAAGTAGTGAGAAAAAAAAACGAAAATTCCCACAAAAGACAAAAAGAAAAGTGAACAATAAAAAGGAATGGTAAAAATTTCACTTCACACCAGCATGGAAGCCAAATCGGTGAGGAATTTATTAAAAGCGCACTTCCATTACCAAAACACCAACAAAGCCGAGTTTGCGAGAATTTCATCTGCGAAACGAATAGTATTTTCCACACCAGATGGTGTAGTGTTGGCCAACCTTGAAATGACAAAAAAAAAGAAAAAAAAAGAAAAAGGATGTAGTGTGCATATTCAAATAATCAACCCAAATGGTGAGAAAGAAAGAGCTTTGTGGAGATTTTATCTTAATTACCGTTTGAAAGTCAATGACCACATTGAAATGTAAGTACACAATGAGCTTTGAAGGTGGGCAACGCTCATTGTACACTGTAGTACTAGGGCTACATAGTGTTGGGTGGTGGTAAACAAGAAAGCTACTAATTCACTTCTTGACTAAGCATTTAACTTGGCTTGCTGAATGGCCGTGCATGCCTTTGAATTTTGATCTCTTAATTTATAAGTTTGCTCTGTTCTGCTCTGCTCCCCTGTCTTTGTTTAATTTATGTTCACAGAAAAGGTTGTTTTTTCTCATTAGCACTTTTCCACTTTTTCACTTTTACTTTCTCCTCTTTGTGTATTTTTAATTGTTTTTTGTTTGTGTTATTTTAAGCTTTTTTTATCAGAAGATCAAATAAATGTTAGGCTTATTAAAAAATATCGCAGGAATAACAGGATACGAGGCTCGGAACAGAGTTTAGCGCTTACCGCTCATGTGTATGTTAGTAGAAGTAACACTTGCTTTTCCTCCACTTCTACTTTTTCTTCCACTTCCATTGCACGGAAGCGGAAATCATTAATATTGTGTTGCATAAATTAAGGCGTTTTGTTTGTAAAGCTTGTGTGTTAGCAAGTTGTAATTATGTCTGAGCAAGCGAAAATTTAAATGTTGAAAGCGCGGATGAGGAGGAAAAAAAAGAAAAGAAAATTAAATGAAAAATTGGCAATTATTAAAAAAAACAAGAGAAATTAATTGTTTGTCAAAATGCCTTAAATGTCTTAAATGCCTTGGCTGACAGTAACATGCAAGGATTTGGCATACAAATCCGTGAAAAAGTGGGGTTTGGGAAATTAACTCCTTCCGTATGCTCAACTTTTAATGGAAGTAAATGGTGTGGTAATAACTCAGAATTTTTGTACATTAACTTGATTGGAGAATAAAAAAATAAACACTAGAAGAATTATGAAATGTGTTAAAAATATTAAATATTTATTAAATTTTTCAGTTATTTATGAAATACTTACACTGAATACTTTTAGATACTTTTATTATTTATATATTCACTAAATTTTTTAATTATTTGTTAAATACTTGCAATGAATATTTCAGATACTTTTATTATATATATATTATTTACACTTTTGAGTTATTTATTAAATACTTACACTGAATACTTACACTGAATACTTTCAAATACCTTTATTATTAATATTTATTTGTGAGAATTAATTTTAAAGTGAACTAGGAATAACGACTTGACTGCTAGGTTCTTCGCCCTGTTATTATTTATATATGTAATAAAATTGTGAGTTATTTATTAAATAGTTGCACTGAATACTTTAAGTTACTTTAAATTTCGTCAAAAGAATGAAATTTAGAAGACATGCTTAAGTAGTAGATTCTTGAAACAATGTTTATAAAATATATTTTCTTGAAAATAAATAAGTTATAGATAGTACAATTTGATTATTAGAAATGTAGAAGCAAATAACTTTTTCAAAGTATCTTCATAGCATATATTTCCTTGAGAATATATTATTGCAGATACTTAGAAACTGATTATTTTAAGTAGTGCAAAAAAGCATATTTATTTCTAATTATTATTTATCAACCAAGTTTGAGATATATTTTGAAATTTAAAAAACAAAACTTAACT